GACTTATCAACGCGGCATATTGCAACATGCAAAGTACTATCCTCCCTACTTAGAAAGTGATTTCGGAGCATGCAAATCTGACCATGACATGCCTCTCGCAAGTCAAGGATACCTCTTCCACCCTCTCTTCTGGGGATGTTAACCCGCTCAATTGCAGCTTTTGGATGATGCTTGCCCAACTTGGTTAAGGACGTTCTTATGGTCCTGTTCAGACCTTCCAATTCAGTGTCTGACCAAGGGACAATACCAAACGAGTAGGAAAGGGCGGCTATAACGTAAGTGTTAATTGCTTTGGTCATGTTCTTGGAATTTAGTGAGGTATTTAGCACCGCTTTGAGACGACTGACAAATAAGGCGGTGAGGCGTTCTTTAACTTTATCCTTCTTGATGCCTAGGTTTTGCAGCATACCTAAATACTTATAAAGTTCATCAGCGGAAAGCGTTCCAATAACATTTCCAGAGTTGGTAACAATGCCTTCCTCCTCAATAATGATGCCTCTCTCAACATGAAGCGTTTTACACTTTTGTACTCCGAATTCCATACAAATATCCTCACTTACTCCTTCCACGATACCAAGGAGCTGCCTAAGATGGTCTTTCTTAGAGGCATAGATCTTAATGTCATCCATATACAGTAAGTGACTGACCTTGTGGATCTCCTCCCCACCAAGACGCAAGGAAAACCCCAGATTTTCTCTACTAACACGATTCGAAAGCGGGTTAAGCCCCAGACAGAACCATAGGGCACTAAGGCCGTCCCCTTGGAAAATTCCACGCTTGATCAAAATTACGCCCGTTACTGTAGGACTACTAGAGCCACTGACGACTACTCGCGTGCGCCAAGTGGTCATTACACCCTCCAAAAACTTCACAATTACCGGGTGGACCTTGTAGATGTTCAGGACACGAAGCAGCCAACTATGAGGAATTGAATCGAATGCCTTTTTATAATCAATGTACCCTACATGTAGATTTCGGTGTTCCTTCTCCGCTTGCTTCAGGACAACCGAGTCAATAGTAAGCTGTTCCTTGCAACCGAGGCTTCCCTTACGACACCCTTTTTGCTCTTCACTCATGACTCCCCACCTCCGAACGTGCCTATCAATATGCTGGCAAATGATTGAAGTAATGACCTTATAAAGAGTGGAGAGGCAAGTAATGGGTCGGTAGTTCGAGGGATCCTTAGGATCCCCGTCCTTGTACTTAGCATACGTGACCCCTTCCGTCAAGAACTTTGGCATCTTATTTGGATGGGTGACAACATCCTGGATGGACTTAGCTAAGTGAGCATGTACACATGTTAGCTTTTTCAGCCAGAAGTTCTGAATTCGGTCAGGACCGGGAGCCTTCCAATTGAAGGAACGAAATGTGACTCTTCTCACGTCAGCAGCTGTGATTTGAAATTCATCCGGATACTGGACGTGGTTAAACGCATTTTCTTCGTCCTGAATCCACGGTGCCTCGTTGTTATGAAACTTCGCATTCGACCAAAGATCCCGCCAAAACCGCTCTAGATCTTCTTCAGATGGTACTTCAGCTAAGGGCTCATTGCTTCCAGTGCTTTCCAACTTTCGATAGAAGACATTTTCACTGCGCTGAAATAATTCGTTATCTTTCCGGCGCTGGTAACACTTTTTGTACCTTTTTAGTCTAGCCGCTTGAACTTTCAGCCTTTGCTTTAGAGTGTCGAGATGAAGTTGCAGGTTGCGCTCCTCTGATGGGACTCCTATCAGTCTAGACTTCAGCCGTTTGGACGCGTTCCCCTTGGCGAATTGGGTGACCCTGCCGATTTCCCGCCGCAGTTTTTCGATGTTTCTTCCTATTCTAACCTGCCACTTAGGGGCAAAATTTCCATTCCGGGGCGCACCGCCCGACGTTACACTCGGCCCTCTGGTGGTGTGCGCTATTGTAGCGGCTGCACAATAGACAGCACAGTGAATATCCTCAAGTGATGAATCATCTTCAAGATATCTTGGAATTATCGCATCGTCTTTCGTCATCGTCATCGTCATCGTCTCTCATTATTATTATTATTATTATTCAGTGAGCCATCCTCATATCTCAGCATTGTTTGTGGTATTCCAGATCTCTACATCTTGCCCCAGCAACTTTTTAGGATTTTGATATGATCAAGAATAATCTAACCTTATCACCACCATCCTATTAACATTAACTTACTATTTTAGCTTATCAGGACTTCAAATTCCTAATACTATCATACTGTCAAGTTAAGAAAGAACACAGTTTTAGCTGACATATGTAGCCAAATTTCCTTTGATAAATATGAGTGATCAGGGCAATCGCTGAATAATTTTCTTCATATGTTTCCTTAAATCGTAGTCGTTATCAGATCTAAATTATCAAAATATTTCAAGATTAAATATTTAAAACCCTCCTGAGAAATAAACATTATAGCAGGGGAAATTTGGCAATTCTCGAATGTCTATGCAGCATTTTTCTCTAGCACAGCTGCACATCTAATGCTAAACTTCCCACAAATTTTATTCCTTTGGGGGTACCTCACTGTACAGGTTTTAGATTTACCATTCTGTGGAACTCTTCATAAATCTTAAGTTTTTATGTTATCAGTTTCAAAAAGAAGAACGGCATAGCTGGAAGGATCCAAAACTTGATAAAAAAGCAGAGCATTTAAAGAAACTGTTGGCTGAGCATCCGCTATCCTTAACCATCAGCATACCCATCAATGGTAAATATGTCTTTTAGATGAATCCTCATTTTGAAGCAAGCCACATCTACACAAATAAGACCAAGTGAAGCGTATTAGGTTGAAATGAATTAGTTTATGATTATTTGGAATCAGGAAGAGAAAATAGGACTCTCTCTATGGTTTATATGAAGATTTGTGCTACAGAAACTTTTGTTATTTTATCTGATTTCCACATTCTTTCAGTGAGCTAGTCCAGTAATTCTTATGGGTCTCTAGACAAGGTATGAAGTAAAACACAACGCTATGTGCGCTTTCTTCAAAATTCCACAGGGAGAAAAAATCGCACAACGGGAAGTCTAAAAATCAACACCTGAACAAGGTATAAGTGTTACCTATTTATTAACACTATAGTTAAATGGCAAAAATACATATGATGTTGTTTATATAATCAAACTCTCATTTGGTCTGTGTATAAAGACGTTTTAATATCTTGTTCAGGAAATGATTTCAAAACTTTCTGTTGTGTGAATTGTTTTCCATGTAAGATTTTGATGAGAAAACGTCTTCTTCTCCTTCAGACCTTGTGTAGTGGCCCATTCTTACGGTTTTGAAAAGTAGAAAGTGCACTAAGTTCACTCAAATTTTTGTTGGTTTTTTTGAACGATATTAATTAACGAAAAATGAGTTCTAAGTTGTGAATATATTTTGCACTTTCAATTAATAGTACCTTGCAAAGGAAGCCAAGACAGCGTCCACAAATATCTCTCCAGCAGTAGCCTCACTTTCGACTGTATGGTGTCTTTGCTGTAAGTTATTTTGTAGGTGCAAATCATTTAAGAATTATTAGGTGGGTATTGGACAGGGTTAATTACCGTTGGTGATAATCTTTTTCCTTTAAAATGAAATTCATTTGTGCTCGAGGTGATAATTGTCATCTTGACTTCTTATTGCAACAAGATGGAGAAATGGTGCTGGGTCCACATCATTTTCCGGGAAAATTGTTTTTTCTCTTCTTTCTTATTGCATCAATCTTTTATTCCATTAATGTTTCTCATCCTTTTTTCTCGACAGAAAATGGCTCCAGTATTTCAATGAAATTCAGCTACCTGCTGAATCTTCGAGTTGTTACAGTGAGAATTTCAGTACAGATATCTGAATCTATTCGAGGAATTTCTGCCAGGTACAACCTTTTTAACAATAACAATCGTTTTATGGTTTATTTATATTGCACCTGTATTAAATGAATCCATAAGTAATTTCTCTCTCATTGACTTTTTTTTAATCCTAGTTATATTTGCCATCATAACTAATACAGGAACATATTTTATGGAAGTATCGACAGTAGTCTAAAACCCATTATGAAAACTGCCATTGTATTTGCCTGTTCCAACTGTAAAAACAGAATACTGTGGTGCATGCGATCTTGGGCACTTTTCTTCAGAAGTAATACATTTACATTCTAATAGGAGTCAAATCCTGATATATTAGTAGACGTTCTTGTGAGTTCATTGTTTACAAATTGTGTACCAAAATTATCATTGCAATGGGCCTGTTGCAAACTTTTGCTAGAGCAAAAATAAGAGTTGTTTCTTGTAGATAATGCCTCAAAAATCACGATGAGCGCATCGGCAAAGTCTGAAATGCACTCATAACTTCACAATCTGCGTAAGAAATTTGCGTTTTTTTAAGCTTCCCGCTTCAAAAACGATACTAAGGCACAGGTGAACATTTTGTTAGAGGAGTCGCTCCATCGTCGGCGATATTCATCATGGCCGACGCTTGCGCGCAGTTCCGCGCGTAGTTCGAGGAGAGTTCAAGGTCAATCAATTCGGGCGTGGAAAATATGAACGTTAACACACCGATTGTTATCTGGTCTTATCCTGGTCAGGTGTTATCTCACCCCATCACACGTTTTTTGGCGGATTGGCATCGGCCATGATGAGTATTGCCGACAATGGAACGACTCCTCTAACAAAATGTCAACCTGTGCCGTAGGATCGTTTTTGAAGCGGAAAGCTCAAAAACATGCAAATTTCCTACGCAGATTGTGAAGTCATGAGTCCATTTCAGACCTTGCCGATGCGCTCATCGTGATTTTTTTGGCATTATCTATAAGGAACAACTCTTTGTTTTGCTCTAGCAAAAGTTTGCAACAGGCCCATTACAGAAGAGTAATATGTAATTAAAATGAGCATGCGTTGCCCTGCTTCCCTGTGATGATCCAAGTGATCGCAACGTAAAGCATGTTTTAGTGAGAGCCATTATTTATAGTTTCATTATTTTCTTCTTTTTCAGTGCCCTATTAAATCCATTCAATATTCTATCTGCATTGTATCCAGGAGACTATGGAGAAATTAGTCCTAATCCAGCAAATTTTCATCAATTGAAACAGGTGAGATCTTACTTTCAATATTTTTCAACAGTTAGCTCTTTCCTATATTTTTGATATTTTGCTTTTGATCTGATGAAAGTATTCTAGGCATCAGCGGCAATTAAATCACATGCAAAGGTGTGCAATTCTCTTTATTTGCTTCTATCTAGTTTTTTTTTTCTCTCTTTTTTTTATCTCTTGACGTGAATTGTGTGAGATGTATTAATCAGTCTGATGCATTTCTTTTCCCTTTTTCTTTGGGCACATTCCAGGCTCTTAGAAAATTTGCAGGTGTCCAAAATTTGATGATTTTCATGTTTTAGTGGACACTACTAACTTTATCGCTACTGAGTTAACTGACCACGAGGACATCCTTGGTTTCTAAACAGAACAATTATTGAAGGAGATTTGACAAAATGACCCAATCTGCTGAAGTGCATGTATTTCAATGGGATATGCCGCCTGATGATGTCACAACCACTCCTTTCAAATCAATTGCAAATTGTTTTGCTAGTTCTCCTCTTTTAGTTAAAAATAAAATACAAATGGCGCCTGAAAAATTCTGCTATAATAATAAGTATTTTCATGGGTATTTAATGCCTTATATTTCAGAAACTCCAGTTTTTACTTTTCTTTTTTCAATTGTACACAGGTAGGTGTTCAATCGTTTGATAGAGAAGCTCTAGGCACTCCATACAACTGGGCTCAGAAAATTGCAGGACTCGATTTTGAGGGCTGCACATCTGTCAATAAAATCGAAGCCAAATGTAGTATTAGTCAAGAGAACCTTCCCTCTGTGATGAAAGCCATTAAACGCAGATTGAAGTCTCGCATCGCTCTATGCAAGCAAATACAAGATTTTGGTGAGTTAGCTTTTCAGTTTTTCTTACACTAGGGGCTACGCCCCATGACCGCTTCGCGGCCCAACCTCTTGATGCGCTTTGCGCCTAGGGTGTTATGAGGCATGTTACTCTTATGATTTTGTATTTTAGAGTATGATTTGTTTTCAAGAATACCTCAACTGTAACCCTTGATTCCTCTCAAGGTTTATCACTGTTCCATAATCTTTCTTTAATATATAAAATAAAAAAAGTAACATGTAAAGCTTAAGTAGTTCACTGCCCCTTTGACTCCGTAGCCCATGCTCCACTCTCCATCCCTCTAACACTCATGCGCAGTCGCCTTTTCCCCTACCCACCTGTCATGCACTTACCAGTAACACTTCTTTTTCTCATACAGAGCCCCTCCAACCCTACTTGGACACTGCCAGCTCTTACTTGTTTCCACTTCCCTGCAGACAGGGAATGCAGTAATGCTAGCATTGCTTCAACCATTTACTTGAAGCAGTCTATATGACTTTGCAACAGTAATATCTCACATGGTCTTTCTTGCTACCTTGCGTTCTCATTCTTAAACATTTACTTTTTGTCCCTCCTTTTTCCTTGTAGGGTTGCCACTATTTTCACATACTTTGAATTTTTTCAAAACCGTTTTTATGATTTTTTTTTTTCCACACGGAAATGAGAGTATAGTTCTTAGGCCTCCCCAATTTCATTCATTTTTTCATCGATTTCACACTTTCATTTATTTTTTGTTTTCTTAATTTATTTAGACACATGATGAAAACAACCAGCATTCTTTATGCTATTGGAAACCCTCCAAACGTGAATTTCATTTCTGTAACTATAATTAATATGAAGCTATACTTATATTATTACTTATTTTTACAGAGGTAGGGTGTGTGATGGTTCCACCACCTCTTATGGAACATTTCCCTCCAAAACGCCAGTGTGAGTTGACTCAATGGAGGCAAATCGCTTTCTCTGAATATGAGGCCCTCGGCTATACAAAGCATTTTGTTGAAAATGCAGTTGTTACCAAGTATGATATCTTCTTCAAAACACTCTTAACCAGGATCAATCCAGGAATAGATGGTAAGCATATTGTCTCATTTTTTGTCTATGAATGTTGTAGTGTTGTTTAAGTTTCATTCATCCAAGATGCAGATGGAGGATTACCATAACAGTCCAAAAAGCTTTTATTTCATAAATTATGGGTTGATTTACAAGCTAAAAAATTGTTAAGAATCCTATCAATTTTCTGGTACTTTTCAATCAAGCATGACGTCGTACTGATTTCCATCAGGACCTGTCCTATGAGGGCTCTATGTCTAATAATTGATGTTCATGTACTTATTGCTGATAATAAGATAACTTTGAAGTCAAATTTCTGTAGGTTTAATCTGATGTTTTGATTTTTTTAGCTGTGCCATAGCACATACCTATTTTACGATGTAAATCATTGATTAATATTGTGGTTTTCTTACCTTCTCACTTTTCAGTCCAACTGTATGTAGCAGTCGCTGTGAGGGCAAATTATCCAGAAGCACCACCTGTCTTTGCCGTTTGCTGCTCTAACGAAAAAAATTTAATACCCGAGGAGATTTATGCCAGAGGGAAAACAGCATTAAATGATGAATGTGTCAGGGTCAGTATTCATCAAATACTAAACATGTATTAAATAATTCCAATGTCTAACTTTACCGATGTCGTTCAACCAATGAGATGAAAACTACAAAATATCTGAGGAGAGTATCTATGCATGCACTCTTATATGCTTAAAAAAATGTAGGAATAATTTTCTATGAGGAAATATTTTTTTTTATTTACATGTAATCACCAAAATTTGACAATTTGTAATAATTTATTAAATGCTGAACATGAATAAGCATAAAAGAATGGAAAAACTATATCTAAAATGAACTTTGCCCTACTTGTGCTAGGCTAAGGGAACAACTCAAATGATGTATACAATCTCATTCAGAAACACATTTTTTTTGTTACAGAATATGGAAAGAGAAGTGAATTGCCACTGGAATGAAGTTGTGCAAGATCTCAGTGACAGTAATCGTGCTGCTGTGTTGTTCACTGCTCAAATGCTGAAACTCATGTCCTGTTTTGATGTTATGATCGATGCACTAGCTCCGTCTGCTTCTGGATCTCGAGAAAAAATGTACATGGAACCATTGAAGTAAGTTCTTTTACACTTTTTTCATTCTGAATTTAAGGATAAAATGTCAAACATCGAAAAAAGTTTTGTCATTACATTTTCTTTATCGACTGTTGATCGTCAAGGTACATTTCAAGCACCAACCACATCATAAGTTTGAGACACACAACATTCAAAATGATAATTGAACCAATAATATTATCAAAAGGGTGTCACATCATAATGTATTATATTAGCATTAAATTCTTCATTCTTTAACACTTGATTTATTTGACGAACGCTTAGAATTTGGTTCTCAAAGGTTCAAATCCGTCACAAAGAAGATTATTTATTTTAAAAATTATTCAATGTAAGCACCTGTATTTTTATCAGGACATGCATATTTACTTCGGGCTTATTGTAAAGCGTTTTTGTTTGTTTTTTGTTTCCAGGGGCCGGGATCGTGCTTATCCTCTTCGATATGTTCAAAGGAATGGAGGCATATTCATGCATCGTTAGTTCCTGTTTTTTCCCATCAAATTTGTTTAATGTCAACTGAAATGCACATTAGTTTAAAACCCTTACTTTTCTAGATGATCTATTCTTTCTTTTCCCAAAAAAGATTTCTGCAAGCTTTTACACCCCTTTATTATTAAATGTTGTATGTATGTATTATATTTTTTAAGAAAGTAATAAAACTTTGACATGATCTTTAAAATATATAAGATTAAAATGTTTTCATTTTCTAGTTATTTAACCCACATAACCCCCAGTCTGTGTAAAAATTTTAATTAGCAGTACTAAAGAAAATATAGAGATGATAGGTCAGTAGATTGTGCCAACATGGAATGAAAATGAAATCTGATATAAACCAAAAATTTATTTTTTATTTTTGGAGGTTAGAATTAACTTTTTAAAGTATGGAAGTTTCAAGTCATGGATGCTCATTAACACACTTTTGATTTAAATAATCAAAAGCAATAAATACAAGTTTCGAACTATAGACAGAGAGACAAAGGAAAGCACAACTGCAGGTTACATAAATATAATGATTAAGTAATAGTAATAACTCAATTTTTTGACAACAAGTATATCTATATAGATTCATTTTTGTTTTAAAAAGGTACAATAGTTTTGTGTTCTGACCTGGTGCAAGGTGCTGTACCTCTTTTCACCTCACACCATGACAATGCATGAAGCAACAGCAACTGCAGCACATCCAACTTAAACTTTTTTGAGACAGAAACTGAAACCGAACGGAAAACTATTGATTCAAACTCAACCACTTACTTAACATACGTATTTTCTCATGAAGCGTGGTGTAAATTGTATTAAAAATAAAGGTATAGCCTGAAAAAAATAATTGATGGAGAACGTAGCTTGCTATTAAACATGAGATTTAGGTTAGAAGTTTGCCGGGAGGAATATAGACGAGAAATAATTCGGACTTAATTTGCCCAAATTGGCAGTTCAAAAACGAATGACTTTTTATAAACTGTTGTTTCACGGTATTGAGGTATTATTGCTGACTCGCAGAAAAATTAATGAAGCCGCAGAACCCTGAGAAGTTGTTAAAAGAATCAAAAGCTTAAAATTTAAAAAAATTACAAATATATTATTTTCGTGCACTTAAAAATCTTTAAAATAGGACGCGTTTCGTCCGTGCAGGACAGACATCAGACTGATTCACCCCGGAAAAAACGCATCCAATTTCAAAGATTTTGACATGCACGTAAATGTGCATTTAACCTTTTTAAATTTGAACAAAGTTTGTGTTTTCTAATACTTTTATTCGTTTAATGAAAATTTTACAGCCTTGTTCAATGAGAAATTTTTGGAGCGCTTTTGATGAATACGAATAATATTCTAACGCGAGCTCCCGGTATGTTTGTTGCCTATGCAGTTAAATTGAAGGCGATCTTGAGTAGACGATATCTGTCAATAGGCCATTCACGATTTCACGCACAGTGATCGGTTCTATCAAAGTCTATGGAGGATATCGATGGCCCGCGTGCGAAACCACGTATCTCCCTTTGCAACGCTGTAGACTTCTTGTCAAACTTCATTTTTTTCATTTGAAAACTTGTCAACTTTATTTCTTGAACACGTCCTTTGATTTTTCTACTTTACCTCCAGAATATCGACGGTGAAACTACCAAACCACGTATCTCGGTTTGCGATATCGCAGACTTCCTGTCATACTTTATTTTTTAAATGAAAAACTACTCAACGTCCAGTCTTGAAAATTTCTGTGATTTTTCCTCTTCGTGCGGAGAAAATTCCGTGAAAATTTCAAGGAATGATATTCATTTGGTCTACTTCAAAAAAATAAAATGCGAGCGTAGATTTTTAAACACCGCAAACGAGATACGTGGTTTGGTAGTTTCATTGTCGATATACCGCAGAAGTTTCAAGTTACAAACTCGACTTGTATTTCTTCGAAAAAAATAAGAGGATCGAGAGATGTTGAAACACCGCAATTGAGGTACAAGGTTTCGCACTTAAGTCATCGATGTGTATGTTTCCCGAACAAATGACTATTTGTGCGCTCCGATAGGTTTGCTGCATTTACGGCATGTCAGGAAAATTTAATTGGAAAATACCTATTAATAGGTTCTCAACATCGTTCATTGGTTTGATCAAAGCCTGGAGAGCGATACGTGTATTCTTCGAAAAGATTACTATTCGCGTTCTTCAGTAGGTTTGTTGCCTATGCATGCGGCAACATTGAAGGCAAACTTCAATTTCATATAAAAAAATCATACCTAAACATGGGTCCTTAATATTGTTTATTCATCCAATCCCAAAGCTAACGGCGCGATTGAAATGTGAAGTTTTCAAAAAGAGATTTTATTCGAGTTTTTGGCAGGGCCGGATTTAGGGGGTGGCCACAAGTGCCGCGGCCCATGGCGGCAAATGTTGTACAACCACACAAGCAATTTGGCCAGAAGCGGCGCGGCGCGGCGCAGAGAGCAATGATGACGAGGACTTGAGATGGAAAGGAGAAGTCTTCGGCGCGCCGCCGCCGGTCAGCAGGAAACACATATTAGCGCATACACGACTCCATGAATACTTCACGCATTGCGTCAAAAACCGGGCGGACAGCAGCGGCCGGCGTGAAACGCGTAGCGCCTACAAGACTGTATGGATACTTCACGCATTGCGCCAGACACAGTGCGGTTAGCGCGGTGGCGAAAATTAAAATCACTAAACCACATTCATGTTTATTCTTTCATAATTTTTTCGTTTTTTTCTCAAAGTGAAAGGCCTCGTCCACACAGAGATAGGTTTACGGAACTTAATTTTCGCGCTAAGTTCCGTGAAATTTTGCTAGTATGTTGACAAGGCTTTCAAAAAAAATGTGCCTAACATGAGTAAACGCGTCTTATGCACCCCTCCTCCTCTGGCACGTTCACTTGATCCCTGCTGAAACTGACGAGTAGGCTATTCAGAATTCGCCAACTTACATGAGTCCTACTCATATGGGAAGAAATTCTACTCATAAGAGTGGAAAAGTTCAACTTATATATATGAATTAAATTTTTTTCAGCTTTCAGAAGTACTGTTGCTGACCAGGAGACACCGATATAGTAGGTAAATTCGAAAAATAAAAACATTTTGTTCTTATGACTTTTTTGATGCGGTGGTGACTAGTTTCTGAGCTATCGGACACGGTAGAACCAAGCCTCTTAATTTAAGCGGATTTCGTTTTGATTCAAGCAAATATCCGTTTGAATCAAGAGTGCGATTTTTCTTGTCAATGTTTTCAAGAGTCTTGGCTCTAGATCCAATGTGTTTTTTTTTTTCCGGTGATAGCTTCACTGAAAAAAAAGGATTAAATTGCTAATTCACCGATTTAGGGTGGAGCAAAATTTGCTTCACTTCGTAAAGCTCTCTTATCCGTGCACGGTGTTCGGTGTTGAATCAAGTGAACGACTAGCACGAATTGCTACACCGATTTGCTACATCTGCGCGCCTTTATGCAGTTAATCTTGCATCGAGTGACTTGGAAAGGTAACTGCATTTTTTGGTATTGGTACTTTGCGAACAGTAAAAATAGCTCAATAGTCAGGCTGAAATAGCGGAATTTACGGAAAAATAGCGAAAGTTACGGAAGAATAACTAAAAAGGTAACAGACGTAGGTAGCTTTTCAGTGTAGCAAAATCGCACCTACACGCGTGTGTGTAAGTTACCTGAAATTTGTGTAGCGATTTTACCTGCATGGTTTGCACGTTCGTTTTTAGCTACACCATCGTTTGAAATACCCGCGTGCACGGCAATTTCAGCAATATTTTTTTTTCAGTGTTCAAATGGAGGGAACATCGATACATCGCAATGCACGCCACGCCACTGATAGTCGCTCGTCACATGTATCCCCTGTGTCCGAGTGGAACTAAATCATTACAGAGTGGAAGTTACACATAAAAACTCAGCTCGTTTCGAATTGGTGTTAGAGATGCTGCGAGGTGGGATGGGGCGCTAGGGAGGGAAAACAAATTAGACGTCCGACGTCGCTTGACTTGGCGGTGCATCCACCCGCGTGTCTCTATGCAGTCGTCCATCGGCGTCGTCACCCGCATGACCAATCTGATCAGTACTCATCCTCAGCCGCGGCTCTTACACGGATCCAGTCCAGATTTTTACCATTAATATTAGTATGATAACTTCATGAATTTTTCTCTCTAATGCTCAGTTAGAGCGTATATAGTTCGGGTACTGTGACCGTAAAGCGCACATCACGCCAACGGACGTTGTGCGCGTATTCTTCAAGACGTTACGTATTGTGGAACCAAAATTTACAGAATAACGTTCACCACAGCACTTATTTACAAGGAGGTGAGTCTTACCGATATATTAGTTTTGCAAGTGAAAAGATCGTTTAAGGGGCTTGGAGGAAAAGGCGCATAAATGCAGTTTTTGAAAAAATTGAGATATTCATGTACTTAACTAAAACTAGTTTTAAAGTATATTCTATGAAAAATTCACCACTGAAATCCAATTTTTAAGCATCAAAAAGTGAGTTTAAACCTCCTTCCCGCCATGAGGTTTTACGTCATTTTGAAACTTTAAATACGCATTTCTTAAGATAGCAAAAACTGCACGTGTATACCTACGCCTTGTCCTCCAAGCTCCTCATTTCGACAGTAAATTCCGGGGGATAGCTAAGAGATCTAAAACTTTTCGGTCCATCGCAGTTCACCGCCCATGACAAGATTATTTTCACTATTTGCGAGTGCCAGGCATTTTTATGACCTACTTCTTTCCCTCTTCCCTCGAGAAATTTCCAGCCATCCTAAAAAAATAATTCTGCCGGCGCTACAGCGCTGACGATGAGAATATAAATTTTCCCTGAAAGTATAATCATTTTGTGAAAGTGACGAAAATTATCGTTGTCACGAAGCAATTGATTATTAGCGCAGCGACGATTCACAAGGTGGTAAACGAATAAGTATTTGAAATCAATTTTAATGATCCGGATCCGAAATTTTTTTAAGGAATTCTCTGTGAAGCTGAGGCAGGACGAAACCGATTATAGCACTTGATCTGGAGCATAAGACCATGCAGGTGTAGGGTAAAACAGTCCAAACAAATTTTAAAAAAACTACAGCCCCCTTTAAAGAAATGAATTAAAATTCTAACAAAAAAACCTAATCGTATAGGTAAGAAGTGATGCGGGCAGTTTCGCCGTAGTGTAAGAGATGCAACAGTTGGATCATGTTACTTAGTTTTACACGAATCATCAACGGGCGAATCTCGTATCTCTCGCTCATTCTGACCAATTTTCCTTCAATATCGTGACTAGGCAATGCGAGTGACTTGGGAGCTGTACTTAATAGTTGGTTGCAGCAGAATGGCTATAAGTTCATTTGTGTTTAGCATGACATTATTGGACTGATACCACGTCACTTCGATTGTTAACTAATACCGACCAGTTCGCCTTCAAAAGTTAAGTTAGGCAATGTGAGCGTCTCGGGAAAGGTACTTAATATATCGTCACATTCCAGGCAAAGTATCACAAGCGCCATGCGACGTTTAAAAATTTCCGCCGCCATTTTATTTCTTTACTGAGAAATTGTTGGTTGAATCTGTTTGGAAATTTCACTAAATTTTATCGGCAGCACAAAGAAAATTCAGTGAAATTTTCGGACAGCTTCGTTGAAAAATTTATCTGTAAAAAAAGAAAATGGCGGCGGAAATTTTTGAACGTCGCATGGCGCTTGTGATACTTTGCCTGGAAGGTGACGATATGTAGTTGCCTGCAGCAGTTTCATCTTTTCAATTTGTTTCATAAATATATTTGAACGTATTTCTGCCAAACATAGCTATGTGCATTATGACGTGAGCCCTGTTATGCACATATTCTTATGGGTCTCAGGGCTCATGTCTTAATGCATTTAGTTCCGTTTGGTAGAAATACGTCCATTTATGGTAAAAGTAACTCAAACGTATCTCGATTCCGAAGTTTCAAAATTTTGGGTGTCGTTTCAGTTTTTTTTTTTTTTTTTCGAGTAACCAGTGAATATGTTATTGTTTGAAATTTTCACAAAACATTCTTTGTAGGACGAGAATTTAGTCAGAACCCCATACGTATGATATAGCGTTTGTTGTATTTTCATTGAAAAAAACAGCGTAAGAGATTCTGAAACATCGCGATCGGGACGCGTGTGCAGCGACTTTCATCATCGTTTCAGCACAGGACAAATATTGCACTCTCCTTATTGACTCTATTCTCATCGTTTGTGTTCCTTGCGCTCACTCTGACTTCAGCTCACGAGAGGATGATAGAAAGATGAGGACATCAGAACAAGCTTGTGTGTCCGACGGGTGGACCCTAAATTGTTATAAATGAACAGTCGCGGACCATATTTTGAAATTATGAGCTAGGCACTGCATCTGGTTTACTCACAAAAGCATGCATCTCTACTGGTAAACTAATAGCACATATGCTGTTTCTGTAATGTGACAGGAATAGTACTTTCCGACTGCACAGTGTTGTTCAGTTTTGAAGTGTAACAGAATGGATCTCTTGCATGTGTGAGGAATTTGCGATTTAAGTACTTTTTCTGGCGTAAAATTTCGCGAGGAACATGCACGATATAGGTACCACCGGTTTTCTCTGAAAAAACTCCCAAGCTCAAAAAAAGCTCTAAGTTGAGGCCGTAATAAATGGAAGGTCTCCGTGCAAAGATAGGGAGAATCAGATCAGCAAGGTTGTCGTGCTTATAGTTCTTAAGTCCCCAGATAAAGTGGCAACCCTGTAAATGTATTTGCTCCCTATCATAGACGGAGAGTTCGAATTAATGGGAGAGAACTCTAAAGATAGCGTGATATATGTAAAACGCCAATTAGTACCAAAAAAGAAAATATAACTAAAGGAGTCCCCGAAGGAACCAGATGAGAAAATGACTTCCTGAAAAAAATGATGTATTTGAATCGCAATTCCTGACACATGCAAGAGCTCCATTCTCGTCGGAGCCTTTGGTTGTATTTATCTTGTGCATAGTGAATATGTTAATATTTTTTTATTTCCTTCCATCAGAAAATTTTGTGGAAACATGTTCCCACTTACAGTAAAAAACGTGGAGCCACAAATTAACGAGAAACTTTTGAGTCACTTCAAAGGCGAGCGAGAGGGCTTCATTCAAGTAGGTGATGAAAAATGGTTGGTGCCTGCCCGATACGCTCGACATGCTTCCGGCTACTATCAATTTCCTCTGAAGATGGGTGACGTTTGGATAATGACCTTTCCTAGATCCGGTAAGACACTATATTTTAAAGTTCTCTGAATAGTATGTGGATTCATCATTAGGAACAAGAGCAGATTTGGAACATTTTGGACCGCGTTTAGTAGAAAGGCGCCTTGGCACATCCGCTATCGCCCGATTCAACCGGGCAATTCAATTTTTAATAAGAGAACGTTTGTACCTACAGATTTTTTGATAATTTCAAGGAATTTATTGCTTCGCACAATGCAGAAAAACTCACTGATATTTGCACACACAAAAAATTTGTACAACCGTTTTAATGTAAAAAATTAAACTGCTCAATTAAATTCAGCAATAGCTGATGCGGCTTGATTCCTACTGCTTAACGTGGCCCATTCAGCGCTGAAATCAGTTCGATTACTTTCCGTTTAGTCTCATTACTGGACCTCCTGTACCATTTTTAGCTTTTAGTTATCCATCTCACAGAATTGAATAATGATTCTATGCGTATTCACGTACTAATACTGCATATTTATTCGTAATTATCACGAGGCGGAATTTTTTAGCGTCCATTTTAAACCGCGCGGCTGTTAATTTTCAGGTCCACGATTTCCATACTCTGCGCCTTTATGGAGAAATTTCCTGGCGTCCATAGATAAAAGCGGACCGATAGATGTCAGCATAGTAACGTAGATATACAATGAAGCATTAGGTAGGAAGGTGTTTCGCCTTCATTTCACTTGTTATGCAAAATCGGGCCTGGAATAGTTGTATTAAAACGTCTGTGAGTTGGGTGAATGAGGGAGGTCCTTATTGGCATAGAGGGTTCTAGTGTCGACTTTTGGAAAATGTCAAGGAATCTCGTCTTTTTTAGACTAGCTTTGACACAGGAGTCACAACATCGGAGTTTTTGTAAGGATAAATACCTGAGATGCGATTTAGAATAGTATCGTTTTTGATAACTTGTGTGAATAGAAAAGAACGATCATCTCTCGCAGTCATTTGATGGAGGACAATTTTTTCATGAAAGCTTCCCCCGTCAAATTAACGTTGCTTCATAAAGGAGAGAAAGAGGAGAAGGGAAAACATTTGGAGCTATATTTCGATAGACTTGAGTGCATGATTTATTACGTCTGCGACAAGACTGAGGAGCCAAAAGTCCAATGGGTTAATAAATTTTCGCAGTTTATAATTTTAGTCGGTTGAAACCCATTTAATGATTTATGTTTCAGGTACAACTTGGTGCCAAGAGCTCATTTGGCTCCTAAATAACAATCTAGATTACAAAAAATCAGCAGCAGTGGCTTTAGAACGACGATCACCTTTTCTTGAGTAAGCATTATTGTTATTTTGCCGCAATCAGTTTTAACTCGATTTTCATTTTTGGTCAGAGACAATAGATTTTCCTTACCTCTCATTGCACAAAGCTCCTGTCTCATGGAAGAGCCTTCACCACCTCTCATTTATCTCTTCATGTATTTCTTTTAATTTTTTTTCCTTTGAAGAGAAATGAACAGCAGAAAACAAGGATGAATTCAGAATAGCTCTTGGACCTGAACTTTCAAATCAACTACATGTAACGTCATTTTGTACATCCTAAAAGCTCCTAAAGGGGCCTAAGATGACCGAGTCAATTAGTACTGTTGCACTAAGAACTGAGGATGACCGCCGTATACAAATTCGAGAGGTGCCAAATTTCCCCGGATAGAATATGGATTATTGCGAGTTGTTATGCATATTTTTCCTTAACATTTTCAGACATTTTAGATCGAATTGCGGAAAAAATTGTTTGAAAAAATTAAAGGAAAATGTTCACAATCTTCCCCGAAAATTCGCTTTTTATGGACGGAAATATGGCAGCGTCTGAAGGCTCTTACGGCGTTCTTCCTTAACGCGAAAGAATACTGGATTCTTTACTAATCATAATGGAGAATTTGCACGCAAATTTTTTATTTTTTCATCTGAAAATGCCTAAAGAGCTGATTTTGCAGTAGGTATTCTTTATAATTTTTTCGGTAATGAGAAATAGTACATAAATAGATTTAAAAGTGAGAAAATACGCCGCTTAGTGACGTCATCTGGCGGCATTTTCCATTTAAACGCATGTATTCTAGCAAATTAGATCATTTTGTCATATCTCCTCCAATAATTGTTCAATTTAAAAACCAAAGGTATCCTTGTGTTCAGCTCACCTGGTAACGTCCATTCAAACACGGAATTCGTCAAATTTCAGACACCTGCAAATTCTCCATTCCATGAAAATGTAAGTGGTCTACACAGTATTTCATACGCTTAACAGTGGCTAACCAAAGACTTGGAGTGAGCTTGATGAATGTAGTTGAATTTATTTGCCATCAACTGTTGAACGCTTTTTCCTCTGTTTCGCAGGTTCAGCATCATACATGACCCAAAACATATCCAAGATTTAATAAACTTAAACGATAACAATCCGGATGTCGTCGCAATTCTCAAAGAGAGATCGACCCCAGGGTATGAACTTTTCAAGGACCTGCCCAGTCCGAGAACTATCAAGACCCATCTGCCGTTCAGTCTGCTTCCTCCGACACTTCTGGAGACAAACAAGATCGTCTACATTGCCAGGCATCCTAAGGATGTTTTTGTCTCATACTATCACCATAACAAACTTGTCACCATACATGGCTACCACGGTGATATGCCTACTTATTGGAAGTTCTTCAAAAATAACCTAGGTTTGTGCTTTACACTGTGCGTTTTACGATATGAGCTTATTCATAGAGGAATATAAATGGATGTAGGTATTTATTTTTATTTTATTTTATTTTTTTGGGGGGTGTTGTTAAGTTGATTTCAGTTAATATGGTATGGGCACGTGCAGAGGGTGGCTAAAACCAAACCAGGCGGTTGCAAAAGAAAGTGTTGGAGTGGGTCCCTCCAGGTAGGTGTCGGAGAGGGCGTCCAGCTATACGGTGGGTAGAGGGCATCCGTAAAGAGATGGAGAGATGCCAGCTTCCGGAGGATCTTTACCATGACGACAGATTCCTGTGGCGGGTAGGCGTCGCAGAGCTCCCTAGTGCGCAGTGAAAGCGACTTATACACACATTAGTTGATTTAAAGTTTTTTTCTTACCTGGTCCAACCATCGAAAATTTTAAGCATTGGTCGCAGAGGAGGGCAAGGGAAATGGATTGAAGGACATAGACCTACCAGGGGGCTTAATACTTCAAGAAAATGATTCAAAACGAATTTTACACACATACATACATTAAGCCGCTTTTTTAGCGCAGCCTCGCGCTCTGCAACGCCCAATCACCATTGCCCGTTATCCTCCGGAGACCATCAGGCAATTGCCACCTTCTGATCTCCTCCTCCACCCCTTGTCGCCAACCTTTCACAGGATGTCCACGCCGTCACCTTTCAGGAGGAACCCAATCGAAAACCTGCTTGGGCAACCGATCGTCTGCCATCCTTCGCATATGTCCATACCAGACGAATTTTAACATGTTTATTTACCAAAATCTGGGGCGAAATCCGAATAAAGTCAAAATTCAAGGAAAAATCGGGGGATGGGGTGTCATCCCTTAGGAAAAAAGCTACGGCGATACAAGTCCAGCGAGAAATTAAGTACAAAATCCATGGAGAGGGCAAACATCCAAATATACAAGGGGGATTTGGGATAAAATTCAAACACTGCTTGAAATTGTCTGACCCCTCCCCCCTTTAAAAGGACCCCTTTCCCTAAATAAAAAGTGAATAGTTGCTTGTATGGAAAATTCGGACCGGACACCACTGCGGGAGTAGCTCACTGAGTTGCACAAGCAAAAGCCACAAAGCAGTGGGGTTAATGTGCGGCATTCACTTCTAGCATCTTATCGACATTTTACGATATTATGACCTCAGCACAAAAGGATAACCAGACATTAAATAATTATGTTATCAAGTCATTTTACGCGAACAGAGACTGAAGTACGCGGTACTTAAAAGCGCAGCATACCGGACGCAATACACCTGCTGATAATATCTCTCTTGGCCGAGGAAAATCCATACTCATGGTGCGGTCTTACAATTAGTTAAAGACAACGGCCTCTTTTCGTAAGGAGCAACTACGAGTTGTTATTTTGAGCGGTCGAAATATGACAACACAAGAGCTTTTGAAAATCGAAGGTCAAATTAAGGATGAAAACAATCCGGTCAATTTATGAGAGCTATGATAATTCTGAGGACAAGAAGTTACGTATGCAAGGGGAAGGGGGTATATTTTATCGTATAATTTTATATTTATTTTAGTCTGGTGCCTGTACAGAATATTCAATATTAATCTCCAAAAGAAGATTAACGACACGTCTACCAAACGACTATTTTCGATTTCTTCAGAAAATTTGTTCAGAAATGAGGGTTAATCATCTTGCCATTCCCTTAGATCCTGGCTCATGAATAGATTTCAAAAATTATTGTTTGTTTAAAATATAGACGTACCCAATTTGTAAGGTCTTGTCCACACGAGCGCGGTTCGCGGAACTTATTCGACGAACTGCTCAGTTCGTCGAATAAGTTCCGCGAACTGCGCTCGTGTGGACAAGGCCTAATACCACTCCTCTTGGAATAACCACACTTATTTTAATTTTGCATAAAATATTCAACTACCCATGTAAGTCGACTCCCTGTGTGACTGACTTTCACCTTTGCCGCAGAATTCATTGCAGATCTAGCAGAATTAGCACAGTTCATCGCCAATGACACAAAGGAACATCCCGTTTTAAAAATAAGTCCATCAGGAACTCCAGCAGGAACAATTTGTAAACCAAACTGATTAACTTGTACTTGAAACGAGAGCTGAACAAACCAATCGAAAGATACATGCTAGATAACATCTGGGTGATTAAAATCGTTCCGCAATTCTCCACACTTGATACATAATTACAAGCCCACTCCGCGTGGCATGCCATTCATCTTTCAATTGAATACACTATAGGTATAAAAAATAAGAGTCTGTCTTCGATCCGTATGAGCAAAGAAAACTGTGATTTTACTTTGTCTCCCACTTTTTAGGTGGAGTAATAAGCTTCGTAAAAAATGAATGTATACACACGTATGAGAAATGTAAATTGTTTTGCTAAGCGAAGCCCCTTTTGCATGGAAAAATCTTCGTAAAAACTCACAAAATGAAAAAAAAAATATTGAAGATCGATTCTACGTACAAAAGGGTATTAAAAGAAAATGATGAGGAGAGGGAAGAGGGGGGGACAACGCAGAACTATTGACGCTTTGTACCTGTACTTAAAAATAAGATTAATAAGTGACGTATGGGAGAATTAGTAACATGTTGACACTCACACTTGCAGTGTTTGGCGAAAGAAAACTAACTTCCCACTTTTCATTCCCATATATAGCACTTTTTGCAAGAAACAGTTCAATTTTTTAGGTAATTTTTTTTGCACAAGGTAGGAGGGAAACCGAGCTTGATTGGGAATGAATCTTTATTTTGTTCCATTAGGCCTCTTTTTGATAGTTAGAAAAGCATTGACTTGAAAGACTCGAGGATCGTTGACTCCTGTATAATCATTAAGAGTCTAACATAAAATGTGTTCTGCCAACCGAGAATAGGTGAATCCAGGGGGGGGGGGGAGTGTAGAGAGAGTACGCTCCCCTTCCCGTCCACCCCAAAAAAGATGTAATAAAAAGACGATGAGGAGAGGAAGAAGGAACGGAGAAAATAAAAAGGAAAGACGCTACCAGTTGGTAATTTTTCAAGACGAAATTGACCCAAACTGCATCTCAAATGCTCCCCTTGTTTTCCAAATCGTCAAAATTATTCGTTTCTTTGAACGCGGCAAATATTTGCCCGAACAAATTATGTAAAATCCGAGAAATTTGATTTTTCGTCAGAACTATTAGGTAAATTTGATTCGTATGATATTAAAACAAATTAACTTAGAATTTTCGTCAACAAATTATTTCTAATTGAGAACTTAAACTCGAAATTTCCGAGTGTGAGCTGCGTATAATGTCATTAATCACAACTGTACGATGGTCGATGTAGGTATTCTACGAACGGCCCCTCACGTGTGAGTCATGGTGATCCTCATGTAAAGTTTTAAAAACATGGATAGAAACGAAATAAAAAAAATTGCAATACAGACGAACAATTTACTAGATGGACCTGTGATTAGAGCTAAAAATGTTGATTCAATTATACTGCGGGGATGATCTTTAAGATCGATTACATTATTGGACTCCGAGAAATGTAGGTATCCTACTAATTTATTGGCGCTTACCTTGACAGAGAATATTCAACTGGAGACGATGAATAATTGCTCATCTGCGCAGCTAAAAGCGGCTCTTTTGTTATTGGTGTCGCTACCCATCCGTCATCTATTGTGCCTATAGTGAGCTTGTCACTCTAATTATGAAAGAAGTACGAACGCGTGGCGCGTGGCGCACCATGAGCGAGCGACTAGGATTGCGTCTCTAACTGGCGCTCGAAGACTTAAAGCCGTGTCTGTATTCCCCACTTCTACATAGGAAGAACTTTTGGAACGGCAAATCTCAAGTCCATTAATCTTTCTACCATAAAGAGTTTCTTTCTTAAAAGGTGTGGAATATTACAGAGCTAGGACGGCAAGGAAATAGAGCATTTTGGCAACGTTGTGGTAAATCCTGGTAAAATTGTTATAATGCCTTTCAAAGAGTTGTTTTTGTTTATGATCTTAACTTGTAACCTCCAAATGGACTTTTCAACTGGCATAATTTTTGATGGTTTGGATTACCATTTCAAGTTTATTAATTTGATCTATGAATAGACGGTGCAACTCCCAAGTATCTCTTTCGTGGTCTTTTAAGATCCCCACTCCTCTTTAATTTTTGTAAAGGAAAAAATCAACATCATTCCTTGTGTGGAGTGGTTTTTATTAGATCTTCACGGGTATTACGGGATATTACCTGTATTTGTATGTGGGCCAACGGGTAATTTTTTGTGATGAGTTTTATTGAAATACATTTTGTAATACTTAAAGGAAGTGACGCCTTGGCAGGAGTAGGCGAGGGAAGGACGAGGGGCGAGGGGGCTGTCTGTATCTGAACCGTTTAGACTATTGCAGTTGAAAACTATAAGATATTTAACTTACATAATTCAAATATTTAAAGATATAACATAAACACTTTCTTTTGTAACACCTTAATGAGTTGGGAAGCACACTGGGATTTTTGGAGACTGAAACGCAGGGTAGAAAAGAAAACCATGCCATAACATGGCAACTCCATATCCCGTCCAATCCAGATTCCAGTATGCTATGATAGCTATGATGAGACATTTTCATGCCCTGCGATTTTGATGAGTAGGGAAACGCACAGAAAAACTCGGAGACTTAAACGCAGCGTATATAGAAAAGCAAACCATTTCAAGATCGGACAACTCCCCATTCATCCAGCCCTATTCGGCCCTGAAGGAAGAACACCGTATGAAAATTCGAGAGTTGTCAAATTTCCTTCGATAAACTGTTTATTTATGAGAAAGTTATGAATATTTTTCCTTGAAATTTGCATGAGCTTCAGGTGAAATTGCGAACAAAATTATCTGAAAAATAAAAGGAAAATATATATAAGTTTACCAGGAAATTTGTGTTTTATCAAAGGAAATTTGGCAACGCATGAAGGTTCATACGGCGTTCTTCCTTAGCAAGACAGTGTTGATCATGATAGCCATGGTGAAAATCTTTTTTTCTCCAACACATTCGATGAGTCAGGAAACACATAGAGAGGCTGGAGACTTAAACGCTACGTAGAAAAGTAAATAATTTTATGACGTGACTACGTTCCACCCGTCCAGTCCAGGTGGCCACGATAGCCATGGTATTACTATAAAAAGAATATGTTTCTTAGCATTAAGAAGTTTGGGCTGCAGATTCTGTTCAGATGATGAAAAGCGAATTATATTCCAGTGTTTGATTACATTAATTGCGATTTTAGAGAAAAGTAATTAGTCAATAAAAGAGACTGACGAGTATTATTCGAGGTCGTCATACATTATTTATTGGGCCATTTCGCCTCTGTTTTTTGTTGCATAATTGATGATAGCTGTTCAAATTTTTAGTTTGTTTCAGTCCATACTGGGAGCATTTGAATCAAGCCTGGGAACATCGTAACCACCCAAACATGCTGTTTCTCTTCTACGAAAACCTGGTTAAGGTAAATTTTCATTTCATTAAATGTTCCGACAATAATCGATTATTTAGCATAAGTTTAAATGGAGGAAATGCGGTGTTGCCAAACTGCTGGATCCGCCTCTGGCAGTATGTCTCCTCGATTATTGACTAGCTATCCTCCGCAGGGTTTTTTTGACAATTTAAAGCAATTGTATTTTTTGGCTCTTTTGAAAAATAATTGACAGCACAAACATGATTTCCAAATTTTACCATTGATGCGTCGACTTTATGGAAAATTGATTATTATGCGAAACTGTCGCAGGGTTAGAATTCCAAAGAAGAGATCAAATGTACTCGTATCCTTTACCCTACAAGTAAGGTATCAAAAGACATGAGTGGAGACGCTAACAAGTCTTATGGAAGCTCTAGTAGGCGAAACAAGCTGACCTTAAGTCATCTTCAGGCTTCGTCTGCGACCCTTTGGAAAAACTCTCATCGTTGAGAGAGATAACTATTTTAACGCTTTGACTCTACGCACAGAAAGCTGTCTCTTTCGGACCGGTTTTACGTTTAGGTAGGAGACCTCGAATTTTTGGAGTATTGAAAAATGTCGGAGATTAATTTCTTCTTGAGGAGCACATATTCAGTCTCCATGTTGTGGTATGAGCTTCATTATGATGACGATGAACAGCTTCAGAGAGACCAATAATCGTCTATTCGATGCCACACACCTTTCATGTGATTAATTTGTTGAATCTACCTTTCCTCCAAACAGAAGGAGGGGGAGGGAATTAAGCTCCTATCATGTCAATAATAAAATTAAAAGGCCTCAGGTTCCTGTCATAAAATTGTATTTTTCTTGTCATTTTAGGATTCATTAATAGTGAATCTAGGGATGAAGGAGGGGTGACTTTTCCTGTTTCTACCGTAAAAAAGGAACATAGGGAAAACTGCAAGAGGCCGTTTTCTGGACGGAAGAGAGAGGACTCGCCACTTTCAATGTAGATGACTGGGTCCACTCATGTTTCATTTTTAGCTATTAGGGATATGCCATCTAAAACGAAGGGGAAATTGGACAGCATTTTGCAATTTGGAATTATAAATTCAGGCTCTTCTGGAAAAACACTTATGAGCATAGGAAAACTATTGGCACATACGTTGTTTTTAAACTGGGCTAGAATATATAGTTCCAAATTGCAAAATGTAGTCCAATTAATCGTCACTTCCAGAATCTGTTCAGTCTGGTTCGGGATCAGGTCTGACTGACCTAAAGGTTTCACGTACCGCTACGGCCCGTGTATTTCTGGCTGCTGAAGCTGAAGCTTTTTTTCCAATAAAATTTGAACCTGCTTACTGGTTTATCCATTAGAGCCAGTTATAATCTAGACCTATATTTTTCATTTCAGGATCTTCCTTCAGGCGTGAGGGAGATAGCTCAGTTCTTGAATATGCAGTACTCTGATGAACAATTTCGGCAACTAGTCGAACATTTGCAGATCGATAATTTTAGGCGCCGAGTTCCTCTTTACGTTGATGTCGAGATCAAAGGAATTTTTGGCGATACTGAGGAAGGTTTTGTACGGAAGGGTAAGATACTTATCTTGATTTAGCTTCATTTTCTACCTTTTTATACATTTTTTCTATTTGGTTATTCTGCCACGCAACTATACGAGGTTTTTAAAAACAGGCATGTCAGATTTGGAGTTAAAATAGAGAAGGAAAATTATTGTACTGAATTTTTACGAGCAGAATATGCTCATCATAAATTATGGGGAAAAAAGAAATAGAGGAATGATGTAATCGAATTTGAGTGGAAGATTCCGTGAATCTCTTTTATCACGGCAGCTACTGAGAGGACTATGAGGCTCCTAAAAATGCTGAGAAAATGTTTGACGAGAGACCCTCGGACCACTAATTCCGTCAACAACTATTTGTCAGTGGCAGATCAAAAAAGTGGCGAGGCGTTAATGATCGATTATCGACATTTCTCAATTTGAAACTATGGCAAAGAACCGAATATCAAGGTGTTCGTTGCGAACATCTTGTTTATCGATTATTTCCCGTAGATTTAAAATGACAGATAAATCGATAAATCGCAAAGCACGCCAAGACACTGCAGATCATCTATTTTGAAGGTTGGAAAATAATCATTAATCTTATACCACATGCCAATGGATTATGAGTTTTTTCTCTATCGTGAAATTAGAAAACTTTTTCATAACGAAATAATCAAACCGCATAGGATAAATACAGACGATGAACCATAACTCGATACACTTGAGGAGCTTCGGGACTTTTCAGTTGACCAAGTATCAGGGGCCCCAATGGGCTCGAGAAGAATACTTGTGCATCTCGGCGGTTTGAACCATTAAATCAATTGATAATCATAACCTATCGCAGTATTTTAAACTCTATCCACGTGCATAATTCAGGATTCGATTAATTATTCATCAGCTCGGCTGAACTTCAGCAAAGCCACCGCAAGAGCATTCTCGTGAGCTCCGATATATATTGCATAACGCTGTAGAAGGAGAAAGGTAATTCTATCAGATCATTTATGTAATAGCCAGATCGTTTTGCTTTACAATGCACCAAATAGAGCTCTTCATGTAGGGAGGGAGACGCGGAGGTGTTTCTTAGACCCGGTTCTATCGCCTTTCGTTACGGGTTCAACCTATAGCTAAAATTCGATGAGTATTAAATTGTAACCGGCTGTTATTACTTTCCGTTCAAAATGGCTTCACAGAATCGAAAGTCCCCCCCCCCCTCTTCCCCCACGCGATAGACCCAATTTTTCCAATCGAAAATTGTTCTCAGCAATTAGGTAGATTTCTTGGTATTGTGGTCATCATGAGAAACTTTCGGTCGTAAACCAACCCCCCCTCCCCCTTGCACAGGACACACATATACACACCCCCACGAAAAAAAACAAACAAACAAACAAACAAACAAACAAACAAAGTGCACGATGTCAAAGTTTGTACCGAGTAGGTATGAGGTCAACGCAACTTTCGCTGATGCCAATCATTGTAAGTGTCAGCTCATTAAGACTAATATCAGAGCAGGCAATAACCGGCACTTAGCCATTAACCTGACCAGCCATTAAGACCTGACGTCATTTGCACCGACCTCAGCTCTGTATGATACCAACACGATTGTTATTTGGTACTGACAACGGTGAAAGATCTCTCAGAAGGACAAAAGGTAAACCTTTCATTTTCACCAGGATGTTTCTTTTCGAATATATCTCCGAACGTGTCAGATTTCAGAGCAGGAACCGAACTGAATACTTCAGAGTTCTAATTGATACGTGCATTTCCTCCCTATTTATTGAGTATTTAATGAGACAGAACTCGAGGTTATATGCAGGTCGTTTCGCATAACGCTAGCATTAAATACGAATTGCTTTTGGTTCCAGGCAAAGTCGGCGGAGGCGACCCAGAACTAACCGCAGAACTGAGCCGGGAAATTGACGAGTGGATAGAAATGCAGCTTCAGAACACTGATCTACGTTTTCCGGATAAAAAATGACCCTTGAATCCTTGATCCTCACTATTGCGAGGCTGAAAAGCAATTGATTTTATATGTATCTGTTTTATGCTTTGAAGACGGGCCCCATAACTTGGAAAAATTGACTGATGGCAAAGTGGAATAAGTATTAACTTAGAGCCTGCAGCGTTGCAGTTTTTGTCGAATATAAATACATTTTTGAGTGTAGCGAGAATTTTCGGATCGGGAATCCAATCCTTGCAGAACTTCGAAAAAGACATTATGAAGTAGATAATGTTGAATGCATCAGTGGGGTTGTCATTTGAGTTGGCCGGTGGGCAAAATAGACTATACATTTTGCAATTAGGAACTAATATTTTAGGCCCATTTTAGAAACAACGTATGCGCTATTCTCATGTAACACAGGCAAATGCTTCTGATTCCTCTTTTCTTCTTCTTTTTTCTCCTTGCCTTTTTTCCTCTTCTTCTTTTTTCTTCTCTTCTTTATTCTCTTCTTCCTCATATTTTTCTTTTCTTCTCATCCCTCCTCCTCCGTTTCTTTTTTACTTCTTCTTCCTCTATTTTTCGTTCTTCCTCCTTCTCCTTCTCCTCCTCCTCTCCCGCTTTGATGCTCTCTACGTAGGTAAATGCCTTTATAGATGAGCAAAAATTATAGTTGTTCTGAATAACAAAATGTGGTCCAACTATTACAGCCTTGAAGTATGAAGTCCTCGCATTGACAGGCAAAGGCAACCGCTAAAGTAGGTATTCATCCTTGTCTCTGCATGGAGAGACTGAGCGAGCAGAGCATATACTGGAAAAACTCTCTCGGCAGTAAGTACCTATCCACAACATCGAAAAGCTGGGCATCTGGAGTCCCTGCTACCGAAATCTACTGGCAAACGGCAGCCCGAACCAAAAATCTCGTACGGAGGAAAAATTTTCTGTTGATGTATATTTATAATCTCCTCATCAAATTCCTATTCGAAACAGGATGAGTTCCCGTTGGCCCGATGAGATTTTTGTTACGGACGATAGTCAGAATCCCAAATGTTCAACTTAAATTCGGGTTAATAGAAAAATCTGATTAGGAGGCTACTAGCAGGACGTCTCTATCTATGCGCGCTGAGCAATTTTTCTCTGTGCGTTATTCTGGGCTGACTGTAGAAATTAACAGCCAAAGAGTTAGTCGAGAAGGACATAAGAAAAATTGAGCGACACTATTGGTGGCAGCGGGTGGTTAAAATGGACGAAGAATAAGAAATAGACTAACTAACGGCAAGCAATGAGAGATCCTTCGGTTAATCCATCATCATTCTCCTCCTAAATCCATTCTAAGTACCGGATTCCACCAATAAGATCGCTCCATTTTATTTATCGCTAAATCCGCGTCAATTTCAATAATCAGCCCATATCTGTCAAGCTTTCTGAATTGTGGGTGCTGCCAAAAAAGTTCCTTTTGTGTGCGTGGAGATACCTAGATTCTCATAGATCTTTATTACATCTTTAATTTAATTAGTTTGGTAATCAATAAGTTAAGTTTTCATATTGTTTTTAACTTTCTATATACTTTTAAATAAAATAATTTTGATTTTGTTCAGTTTTAAAACTTATTGATAAATATTCTTTTTCAGTGCTTACCTAGGCGTTAACTTCTGAAATTCTGAATAATTGTTTAAATAACCCCTTGATTACTGCCTCGATTTTAATTTTTTTTTTAAAAAAAAAGTTTGGGAGTTAAGTTTAGAGATAACTCGTGTAACCATTCTATTTTTTTACGAAAATGTACCTTTGTAGGTTTAAATTTTTAAATCGAAAATTTTTACTCTAGGTGCAAATATACTTATGATAGAAAAATTAAGCTGTGTATCGTAGGCTACGAAAATATTTTTACGACAATGATAAAAAGAGGGTATTGTTTAATTTATCGAATCATTTGTTTTAATAAGCTGCCATGCGGCGCAGTATTAATAAACGCAATATCGTTTGTCCTCATAAATGCTATCTCGGATCAGTATTATTGCTTGCCTATTTCAGTGAGAGGAATTGGATTACCTTGAAATTAGGAACAGAATAGGCTAGTTTAAATTGAGTCTTAAGGCGTCTTATTAGTACTACGTAATCTGGACACACTTGAGTACATTCGGTCAATTTAGGTCGAAAAAGGGGACGTTACCTATATCCAAAAACACAAACTCCCAATGTGTGAATCGCATGTAGCTCAAAAGCGCAAAGAGAGAGTGTTGACACCCCAACGCAAATACCTGAATAAAGAAAAATTTAAGAAGAAACAATTACATGATTTTTACCAACGCTTTATCTAAGATTTTATGCGAGGAACTTTAGGTCGGTGTCCGCTTAATAATTCGTCGTTAATTCGTTTTTTATCTACTGATGCTCAAATTTAATGACCCAGAAGCAATCAGTGACGCTAGAAATTTTGTCTATACAACTTAAGGTCCTGCCTCATCGAATTCTAAGTGAACCGTACGATGAACATTTTTGACTGGACTTTTTTTAACTCTTCCACAAAAACAAATATATTGGGACGCGCGCTTAAAATAGTTTTGCACTGTGCTGCATTAGTCGCTCCTCTTCTTAAGTTCGGAAGTGTAGGAACGTAGCCCAAATTGCACGGGGGAAAAACATATAGTAATTTTCACAAAATTGTGCACCTAAACGTCAAAAGTGTTTTTCCAACAGGATAGGAAACAAAACAAAAACTCCAAAGATGACTTATTAATATGAGTTTAAATAAAAAACTAAAAACCATGCTCACGTACCTAATTTTGTGCAATTACGTTGACAGGCAACATTCTAATATATTTAAACAGTTAATGCATTTTCGGAAAACTGTTGCGATAAAAATCGTAGTTTACTGCCTCGGTACAATACGCAATTGTGGAATCAAGTAAGGTGTAAAAGAAACAAGCAACAAGCAGAGCATCCTCAGTGCCGCAAGCGACGAACACGAAACGATACTTCTTAAGGCGCCTGAATACAACTATTTGAGCTTTATGGATGTGCGTGTTGCACATGCACGGGTGTGAAGGCGTTTTAACTTTCCAGGCACTCACCGCTTCACCCGCAGTGCGGCGGCAGCGGGCGGTAATGCGGGGATTCAAAAGGGCATGATGCCTTCAATTCCTCGTTTATATTCAAATACATCTCCTAGCCATGAAAAATTGTTCTGAAAATCATGCTCATTTATTTGCGATGCTGAAGCACAAAATATGATAGATATAGGATAGATGTCAGCACATCTCATCTCTGGGCCTTGTGTGCAAAAATCCGTGTTGAGTGTTGACAGACATACTGTCAACACTGTTGACTATATGTTGAAACGAAGAATTGAAGGCTATTTGAAATTTTGAATCTTAGCTGACAATCAGCCATCGCGCCGCGCCACGGGTGAAGTGGAAGTGCCTGAAGGGTCAAAATGCCTTCAATTCCGAGCGTATGCAACACGAACACAGACATCACTGAAATCCATGAAACGCGAATAGTTGCGTTCAGGAGTTATGATGAAATCCATGTTAGTCTTTGTCGCAGCTGATACTAACTGAGGGCATTTCGCTCGTTTCTCTCACACAACGAAGGAAAAACTACATGAAGTTACAAATCGACGGCGTAAGTCGGCAATCACATAACTCGTTTGCGGTGTCTGAAAATCTCCGCCTCTACGTTATTTTTTAAAGGAGAAAAAATTGACATTATTTCTTGAAGTTTATGCAGAATTTTCTTGGCATAGAGAAGAAAAATCATGACAGTTTTAAAGAATTGCCGTTGAGTGGTTTCCCGTTTAAAAAATAAAGTATGACAGGAAGTCTGCGACGTCGCAAACCGAGTTATGCGATTGCCGGCTTACACCGTCGAAATGCGTATCATCAATATATATCATCTTGTTGAAATTCTGCTCCTGCTCCTGTTCATGACATTAATTAATTAATTAATTAATTTATTTATCCATCTATCTATCGTTTTATCTATCCATTTATTTATTTATTTATCTTTATTTACATCGTTAAAGTAGTCAAGAATAATGCGTATCTCTATTGCAACGTTTAAAAATTTACATTTTTTTTTTGGAAAAAAAACGAATAGAAAAACCAAATTTACTACACATTCTCCTCAAATATATTCCAGAATATTCTGCGGTATGCGAAGGAAATTTACAGGAAATTTTAGGAAACATTTTTGGTTCGTTTTCTTTTTAAAAGTATAACTAGAGCAGAAATTTTCAGAACTGGAGATACGTATATTTTCATTTTAGCCCTCAAAAGGTCTTATCGTATTGTATTTGCTGTGAGAGTAATCATTGTACTATGCCGTGACTACGGTCAAATGAAGGTATCTGAGCTTCTTACTACGAGCCAATCAGTTTTCCTCTAAGTTCTCTCAAATTATTAAATTAATTTTTAAAGAAGGACTGACATGAGCGCGAGACGTTGTATAAGAAACTGCCACTATTAATGTTCCGTCTTTATAACAGTAGGTACAGCGTAATACTTACACTCAAATGTCTGGCACCAGTTGCACCGGTAAGTTGTCCAATAAGTTTGCCTTCAATCAATTGATTAGGCAATGTGTGTGGCCTGCTGCTGTGGTTTGGTTGTGTTCATGGCATTCGGTGACAGCATCATACGCGTTGGTGAGCACGCAGCTCATTTAGATCATTTGCCAAAAGCGCCTTTATTTCAGCATGCTTGTGTAAAAATTTTAAAACTCAATAGACCATGAACGTAAAAGGTATTGCAGTATTGCACCGCACCTTACATGCGATTTCCAGAAAAGATCGCAGAATTTGCTTCATGTCAACAGATTTTTCTTTCTCAAAGTAATTTTCCTTAAACTTTATTCGCTAACCATAACTTCAGTGCTCTTGCTGTTTGTCAAAAACTGAGTTGTTGTTCTTAATACCGTATACTTCATGCGAAAAACGTAAACTGCACGCTTGCTTGGATCCCTGCTCAGGTTTTCATTTTAAATTTGCCGCGTAAAACATACCAGATGTATGGTCTTGTTTGGTGTTCAACGTTGATGATCGATGAGTTCAGTGTTTTCTACTGCTGGCGTCAAATAACATTGACTAAAATTGATTATTTTTAATTCGTTCATTATAAAGTTATTCACCCAATTAATATTCCGTAACTTTCAATCATTATTAATAATAATCTTTTTAATATATCGAGAGTAGAAGTAACAATTTATTTAAACCTATTTAAAAGTTAAAGTTTTACTAAAAGTTGTTTTGAATAGACCACAGTATCATTATTGGTTTAGTTGTCAAATTTTTAGTTGTTGCTCACAACACGTTTGACCCAAAGTATTTGGTATGTCAATTTCCTTCTAAAATACACTCGTAATTCAATTTTTGATGGTTTGTGCGCTATTTTAACAATCATTTGATAGTGTTGGTAGCGAAAATTTCTCAAATCAATCATGAGCGAACACATAGTGATAGGCGGTAAGAAGTACTTGATCCTCAAAACGGGCCTCTCGTCAAATACACCAGGGTCACCATCACCAGTTATCAAGTTCAAAGAAAAGAAACCGTGGAACACGCAACAAACGTTTGAACTGATAAGACTCTATCGCGAAAAGCCCGAGCTTTATGATACCACCCACAATGATTACCTGAGTAGAGCGTCGAGAAGGAAAGCTTACAGATACATTAGCCAAGGGCTGTTAGATATCCGACCAAATACATCAGGTAGTGTACATTTCCTCAGACCTCAAATCTAACTTTATGATAAGTCTAATTTCCCCCCTTATCATTAAGAAACTGCATGGATTTTATCACCTGATCCACAGAAATGCTGCATACTTTATCAGTCAATTTTTAAGATTCTTTAGTGGATATGTGGATATCCTTAATAGCATCCAAGAGAATTTGTATTAATCTATGTGTTGTTACGGGTGCATCAATTTACTATGTATATGTGAGGCAGCGTAGGTAAAGATTATTTATCTGCGATCTTGTTTACATTCATGTTAAAATTTACTGAAATCATGAAACCCTATCATTGGAAAGGAAAGCAAGATTTACTTACCAGTTCCTAACATTTCAGTTTGTAAGCGATGTTCTTGAGACAAAATTCACCCACGATCGCGAATTTACAAATTGTTTGTTTACGCATTTGCTGCTGCGTATGTAGCAGATTGCACCCTAAAACTCTGCTCTATTTGGAGGCGTTAAAAATTAGGGAAATGAATGGTAGTAGCTGTGGTAAAATTTGAATTTGCAGCATATCATACTTTTGAAGAGACATCGTAGGAGGGCGCACTTTAAAATCGTTTCCTATTTCAAAAATCAATAATACAGCATTAACTCATACGTCTCTCTACGGGCAAATGTTTCAATCGATTTTCATGTCTGACAATTTAATAATGTTTATTCTAAGGAGAAACGAACAGTACAGGTCAATTTTAGCCATGAATTCCAAAATTGTCTCCTCAGAAAATGATTAATACCAACATGAAAGCTAGACTTGTGTTCCTAAACTAAAGCTAAATTGGTCCATTAAATTCGCAGATTGCCATACGTATCTAATGATACATAGCCAGTCGTGCCTAACGATCTATGTAAGATCTCTCAGAATTTTTAGAACACACTGTCTTAATATTTGCAAAAAAAATTTTGAAGCTGATGCTCTTTCAACTCGGGCGATTATTCATTGAACCTCATTTGTAATCTTCTTACTGATTTTCTATCTGTTTTTGCAGAGGAGGAAATACGGACGAAATGGAATTCCTTGAGGACTCAGTTTATGCGTGAATACTCCAAAGGCAAAAAAGCAGCCGAAGATGGAGTTCCTTTCAAACCAGGCATGCTCTTTTATGAATCTCTCATGTTTCTCAAGGATTCAGATGGATCTACTAAACGAGATGTCATAATTCTGGATGAACCAGAAATTAGTATTAATGAAGATTCTACTGAGTTTAAGGTATGTTAGCATAGTTTTCATCCACTGATTGTCGGTTCTAATTGACTTACCCTGGTAAAAAGCCGTTCTCTGTCTGAAACCACAAAATAGTGATAGTACAATCTCCATTGTAGGGCACTGTGACAACAAAGTCATTGTTTTTGTATAGGCAGTGCTGAAATTTTCGGTACCGATAGGGTTGTTGGAGCATTGCAGCCTTGCTGAAAATGACTCCATATTGAGGGTTGCTTGTTTATGGAACTAACTATGCTTTAAATAAAGTATGGAATAATATCATTCAAAACAAACAAAAGGTAGGTAGGTTCAGAGTTCAGTAGGTGGGGCTGAGACCAAAATATTGATCAGGGTTACTAGGGACATATCTGGGACAATCAGGGCATTTGAAAACAACCAAGAAAGTTAGCGAAAACTCCAGCTCCAGAAGATCTCTCATTTCTTAAGGCCGCGGCACAATTGCTAAATCCTCTATTGCGCGCTAGTACCGCACGTCGACACTGCCAAGTTATTGAGAATCTGCGTTGGAAAGTGAGTGCTGTGAGTACTGAATCCGCAATTTGTGAGCCACTTCAACCTAATGGGATCTAAAGATCAGAAAAAATGTGTAATTTTAATGTTCCTTCAAAACTGCTGGAAGAATTGCATATCAGCCGATTGCCACGATATTGTCATGAATGATGCGTAATTTTTTCACTTTTTTAAAAAAAGCAGCAGGAGAAATCTCATATTTATTTTATGTTCATGGAAATTTGCATAATTGTTTTATGAATCAACACTGGTCAAAGTGAACACCAATCCAGTATAGTCTTGCGGAAATGCTGGAGGTAAAAATGAAGGAAAACATTAACTATTCACGTGTCTCACATTACCAAATTTATGAAAGTATTTATTATGCTCGCTCGAGTAAATGTGGAAATCACCCAACATTCAAATCATGCAACTATTCAAATTCCAGAGTAGGTGTATGGTTTGGTATCCCATGAAAATGAAGGAAAATCTAGCTTTTCGCCTGTCTCAAATAACCAATGTTTATAAATGTAGTTTAATACAAAAAGAAATACTCTAAAACATTACCTCGCAAAATACTGCTGACCAATTACTATATTACCACCATGTAGTTATTCACATAGTAATGTTTAGTTGTAGTTATTGTAGTTCAACACAGTGTATGCGGAAATTAAGTGCGCAACTATTCAAACTCTGGAGTTAGTAAGCTGTATCACGGAAAAATAAATGTAAATCTTGGCTTTTCGTGAAATCTTAAATCATAAGCATTTAAACATGCTTTGATATTCATGGGATAATATCGTGATGCCTTGCTATTAGTGGGGAAATTTCGTAAATTTTTTGGTTTTACAAATCCTCTAGAAAATTAGCGTATTTGCCGCGGTATTGGGGTGAAAACACGTAATTTTTCATGTTTTTACACAACCATTGGATAAATCGCACAGCAAGAAGACATGAAATTTTCGAACACGCCATCAATTGTGGCGTCATACCTCACGCATTCCGAAGAGTACGAATAGTTATATCTTTGCACCTCACCAATACGGCGGAAGATCCAAATTGAAGTAGCCTCCGCGCTTGCGTTGACTGTTTTCCTTTGATATTGTTTCGAAGCTGTGACCGCACAGATACACTGTGCTCAAGCTAAGAATTAATTTGCAAATCGACAATTTTTATAGCAGGATTAAGAATAAATGAGCGGGAAAAGTAAGAGGACTTGTGGGAATCCGAATGAACAATGAAATCTAGAAAATCCAGAACAAATGGGTATAAAAACACTGAAGTACAGGACGTTCTGGTAAAACTTCTTGCTCAATCGCAGTTGGAGAAAAAGCTGAAAACAAAAATTTAAAACAAGGAGATGAGCGCAGAACTGTTGAATTAGGTCATACGGTCAATCTTTCCATCGATCTCAGGCGGTACGAAAATAGCGGTTCCGAAACTGTCAGTTTAAAAAACGCCTTCAAGTGCGGCGTGATACCTTCCGCATTCCGGAGAGTACGTATAGTTGTATCATTGCGCCTTACAAATGTGACCGACGGAAGAATAAAATTGCAGTAGCCTACACGCCTGCGGTGACCGCTTTCCCTTGATATATTTTCATAGTTTGGACCGCATAGTTAAACTGTGTTTCATTCATGATTTGAATTAGCGATCCGGCAGTTTTTTTAGGACGATTGAAAAATAATAAGCGAGTAGAAATAAAAGGCTTGTGGGATTCCAAATTAACGATTGAATAGAGAAAATCCAGAAAAAAGGACTTTAAAGCTGAAATAAAACGAAAACACCGGCAGGACGTTTTGGCAGAATTACTCGCTCCTTCTTAGCAGTAGAAAATGCTGAAAACAAAAATTTAAAACAAGGAGATGAGCGCAGAACTGTGTAATTAGGTCGTACGGACAATCATTCCATCGTTCGGGAGCGCCGCACAGTGGAGTATTTTAACCGAAAAGCTGGCGAAAAGTCTTAGTGGCTCGCTAATTCCCGTTTTTTCTTCCATTTCATTTTATTTCACCATAAATATGATTAAAAATAGCACAGAACCTCAAATGGAATTTTCAGTATTGTTATTTCAGTATTGTTATTTCAGTATTGTTTACGTTCAGCTTTTCAATCAAAGTGTGTATGCAGTGACAGGTACAAGCTACATCTGCAGGCTTATTGGCAGCCATTATTTATGGTAAGTAGTCCCTTTTTACATATATATTACTATATAATTAGAAATTTGATTGTCTGGCATGTATATGCTGTTGTCAAATCGTTCAGTAAAATGTGCATTTTCCATGAAGATGCTTAAATAAGATAGTTTCTGAATATGTGCCGGGCTGTGTCGGGCTGAAAATGAAGGATTTTCGTAAACTAGAACCTAACCGCAAGATTCTCCAGCAAAAATTTTTTACCCACATTAACCCTTTGATTTTCTGCGAATTTTTGAAATTGAGCTTTGTTTTCAAGCAAAAATCACGTACTTCCGAATTTCGGATCCTATATATTTTTCAGGTCAATAATGTGAGCCTCAGCATTAAATGGAAGTCTTATGACACTCCTGGAGTTCTTTGTGTGTGATTCACATAGATTTGATATGCGACGTTGCCAAATTTACGTCAATTTTTATAGAGGGTGCCACTAAATTACGCTGGAAAATTCCTAAACGAAGTAGTTTCTGAATATGTGCCGGGCTGTGTCGGGCTAAGAATGAAGGATTTTCGTAGACTAAAACCCAACCGCAAGATTTTCCCGCAAAAATTTTTTACCCAAATTCACCCTTCGAATTTCTGCGAATTTTTGAAAATGAGTTTGGTTTTCAAGCAATAATCTTGTACTTCCGAATTTTGGATCCTATATATTTTTCAGGTCAATACTGTGAGCCTCAGCATTACATGGAAGTCTTAAGACACTTCTGGAGTGGGGAAGGGTTTCTGAAGGGTTCATAGTGTCAGTAAGGATCCATATTTAGTCCGAAAAGAGCCTAAATTACGGACAAATTTTTCAATGTACTACAGTGGCACACTCTAAAAATTTACGTAGAATTGGCAACGTCGCAAATCAAATCTGTGTGAATCACATACGAAAAACTCCAGAAGTATCATAAGATTTCCATTTAATGCTGAGGCTCACATTATTGACCTGAAAAATATATAGGATCCAAAATTCGGAAGTACGTGATTATTGCTTGAAAACAAAACTCATTTTCAAAAATTCGCAGAAATTCAAAGGGTGAATATGGGTGAAAAATGTTTGCGGGAAAATCTTGCGGTTGGGCTCTAGTTTACGAAAATCCTTCATTTTCAGCCCGACACAGCCCGGCACATATTCAGAAACTACTTCGTTTAGGAATTTTCCAGCGTAATTTAGTGGCACACTCTATAAAAATTGACGTAAATTTGGCAACGTCGCATATCAAATCTGTGTGAATCACATACAAAGAACTCCAGGAGTGTCATGAGTCTTCCATTTAATGCTGAGGCTCACATTATTGACCTGAAAAATATGCTGGATCCAAAATTCGGAAGTCCGTGATTTTTGCTTGAAAACAAAGCTCAATTTCAAAAATTCGCAGAAATTCAAAGGGTGAATATGGGTAAAAAATTTTTGCTGGAGAATCTTGCGGTTGGGTTCTAGTTTACGAAAATCCTTCATTTTCAGCCCGACACAGCCCGGCACATATTCAGAAACTATCTTTTTTAACCATCTTCATGGAAAATGCCCATTTTACTGAACGATTTGACAACAGCATATACATGCCAGACAATCAAATTTCTAATTATAGTAATATATATGTAAAAAGGGAATACTTACCATAAATAATGGCTGCAAATAAGCCTGCAGATGTAGCTTGTACCTGTCACTGCATACACACTTTGATTGAAAAGCTGAACGTAAACAATACTGAACTAGAGCTAAGATGCGCGCGAAACCGCTGGGTTTACCCTTTTTTCCTCGACCAACCAGTAGTGATAAGCGGATTCTGTTGTCACAATGTCATGCAGTAGATGTCAGAGAATCATTATTTACCTGTTTTACCCAGCTTTTACCACATTTTTTTTTTGACTTTTCGCCAGCTTTTCGGGTATAATACTCCACCGTGCGCCGGACTCCAAGCGGTACGACAATAGCGGTCCCGAAACTGTCAGTTTAAAAAACGCCTTCAAGTGCGGCGTGATACCTTCCGCATTCCGGAGAGTACGTATAGTTGTATCATTGCGCCTTACAAATGTGACCGATGGAAGAATAAAATTGCAGTAGCCTCCACGCCTGCGGTGACCGCTTTCCCTTGATATTTTTTCACTAGGGGGCTACGCCCCCTGGCCGCTACGCGGCCCAACCCCTTTAAGGCGCTCCGCGCCATCAATGGGCCGCCTCGCGGCCCTATTTTTACCCTATCGGTGTTAGTTTTATTTTTCCCCTAAAAAAATTACGATATGAGGTATACTTTACTTTTAGAATGAAATAATTTTTGATTTTGATGAATAAAGAAAAAAAAAATTTTTTTGTAGTCAAAAGAACGCATTTTGAAATGACTGCTTGATGAAATATTGCAGTAAAACAACGATCAATGATAATCATAGGTAATAATGAAGAAAATCAGGAATCGAACCCGCACGTTGGTCTAAGTGAATGCATCCGACGTCTTAAACAACTCTGCCACCGTTCGACTGGTTCTAGTGCGCGTATCTTGCGTACATAAGTATAGAACTGATGCGCAGGCTATCCAGCTACCGCGCAACCTCCTCGACTACTGCGCATCCTCCCGCGCATAGCGGTAGCAGTCCCGGAGCATTCCGTAAATTCACTCAATTTTATAACGTGATTTTAAAAAAACCTGGGTCCTATTTCCAAAATCTGATTAAAGCGGGCTCATCTAGGGCCTATTACCTGTCGATTTACGAAAAATCATAGAAATCGGCTTGGTAGAACGCTCAAACGAACTATGACAAAAAGTATAAATTTACATTGTTTAAATGGGAGAATTCGCAACTTTACCATTTAATATAAAAAAACCTGGGCCATATTTTGAAAATCTGAAAAGAGTTGGCTTATCTGGAGACAATTGCCCGTCGATAGCCGCAAAAATCATTAAAATCGCCCCGGTAGAACGCTGGAACTAAGCGTTACCAGTTACGCAAAATTAGGAGGTCTCGGAGCTTATATTATAGATAGTTTTGACCACATAGTTAAAGTGTGTTTCATTTATGATTTGAATTAGCGATCCGGCAGTTTTTTTAGGACGATTGAAAAATAATAAGCGAGTAGAAATAAAAGGTTTTTTGGATTTCAAATTAACGATTGAATAGAGAAAATCCAGAAAAAAGGACTTTAAAGCTGAAATAAAACGAAAACACCGGCAGGACGTTTTGGCAGAATTACTCGCTCCTTCTTAGCAGGAGAAAAAGCTGAAAACAAAAATTCAAAACAAGGAAATGAGAGCAGAACAGTGTAATTAGGTAGTACAATCAATCTTTCCATTGTTCGAGAGCGCCGGACTCCAAGCGGTACGACAATAGCGGTCCCGAAACTGTCAGTTTAAAAAACGCCTTCAAGTGCGGCGTGATACCTTCCGCATTCCGGAGAGTACGTATAGTTGTATCATTGCGCCTTACAAATATGACCGACGGAAGAATAAAATTGCAGTAGCCTACACGCCTGCGGTGACCGCTTTCCCTTGATATATTTTCATAGTTTGGACCGCATAGTTAAACTGTGTTTCATTCATGATTTGAATTAGCGATCCGACAGTTTTTTTAGGACGATTGATAAATAATAAGCGAGTAGAAATTAAAGGTTTGTGGGATTCCAAATCAACGTTTGAATAGAGAAAATCCAGAAGAATGGACTTTCAATTGAAATAAAACGAAAACACCGGCAGGACGTTTGCGCAGAATTACTCGCTCCTTCTCAGGAGGAGAAAAAGCTGAATACAAAAATTTAAAAACAAGGAGATGAGCGCAGAACTGTGTAATTAGGTCGTACGGTCAATCTTTCCATCGTTCTGGTGCGCCGGACTCCAAGCGGTACGACAATAGCGGTCCCGAAACTGTCAGTTTAAAAAACGCCTTCATGTGCGGCGTGATACCTTCCGCATTCCGGAGAGTACGTATAGTTGTATCATTGCGCCTTACAAATGTGACCGACGGAAGAATAAAATTGCAGTAGCCTCCACGCCTGCGGTAACCGCTTTCCCTTGATATTTTTTCATAGTTTGGACCGCATAGTTAAACTGTGTTTCATTTATGATTTGAATTAGCGATCCGGCAGTTTTTTTAGGACGATTGAAAAATAATAAGCGAGTAGAAATAAAAGGTTTTTTGGATTTCAAATTAACGATTGAATAGAGAAAATCCAGAAAAAAGGACTTTAAAGCTGAAATAAAACGAAAACACCGGCAGGACGTTTTGGCAGAATTACTCGCTCCTTCTTAGCTGGAGAAAAAGCTGAAAACAAAAATTCAAAACAAGGAAATGAGAGCAGAACTGTGTAATTAGGTAGTACATACAATCAATCTTTCCATTGTTCGAGAGCGCCGGACTCCAAGCGGTACGACAATAGCGGTCCCGAAACTGTCAGTTTAAAAAACGCCTTCAAGTGCGGCGTGATACCTTCCGCATTCCGGAGAGTACGTATAGTTGTATCATTGCGCCTTACAAATGTGACCGACGGAAGAATAAAATTGCAGTAGCCTCCACGCCTGCGGTAACCGCTTTCCCTTGATATTTTTTCATAGTTTTGACCGCATAGTTAAACTGTGTTTCATTTATGATTTGAATTAGCGATCCGGCAGTTTTTTTAGGATGGTTGAAATAAATAAGCGGGTAGAAATAAAAGGTTCGTAGGATTTCAAATTAACGATTGAATTCAGAAAATCCGGAAGAAAGGACTTTAAAGCTGAAATAAAACGAAAACACCGGCAGGTCGTTTTGTCTAAATTACTCGATCCTTCTCAGCAGGAGAAAAAGCTGAAGTCAAAAATTTTAAACAAGGAGATGAGCGCAGAACTGCGGAATGAGGTCGTACGGTCAATCATTCCATTGTTCGGGAGCGCCGGACTCCAAGCGGTACGACAATAGCGGTCACGAAACCGTCAGTTTAAAAAACACCTTCAAAAGCGGCGTGATACCTCCCGCATTCCGGAGATTACGAATGGTTTTATAGGACCTTAATGGATGTGAATGCATAGTTAAATTGTGTTAAGCTAGGAATTGAATTCGCAATTAGGCAGTTTTTATTGAAGAATTTAAATTTAACAAGTGTTAAGAAATGAAAGGACTAGTGGGAATCCGAAACAACAATAAAATATCGAAAATTCAGATAAACTGAGAATAAAAACCACTGCAGGACGTGTTGTCAAAATTTCACACTATTCTCAACTCGAGAAAAAGCTAAGAAAAAAAAGAAATGAAATTAAAACCATGGCATCGGGTGCCTTAGGTTGTAACGTTGTAAAAGTTGTAAGGTTGTAACGTCGATCATTCCATCGATCTGGTGCGCCGAATCCAGGAATCGCGACAATCCCGGTATCGAAACTTAGCAATTTAAAAAAAACGTTTTAAAAAACGGGAGTTTAGGAAACACGATTGAAGGCGTTTGAAAACGCCTTCAATCGTGACGTGATACCTCACTTGTTCCTGAGAGTACGAATAGTTGTATCCTTGAGCCTTCCCAATGCAAGCCTTGCTAATACCTGGATAGGGAGCGAGTGCAGAAACAGTTTTAGACAACATTGTTGCTTTATTAATAAGTTCAGTATCAAAACGTTTTTAAAATGCAAAATTTTTGTTCACATTCGCAAGTCTCTACCCGTTACTGTTTCACAATGGCGGCCTTTTGAACTATAGGAAATCTAATCTTATTCTGGCTGCTAATTATGATTGCTGATGGATAGCAACCTCTGATTTCTCCAAAATTCAATTCTTTATTCCTCGATTGTTGAATCGATATCGAAGGACTATGATCGATAAAAAGCATCGTTAAGGTAGGGATTCATCGATTAGGATCATTCGATAACGATTTAACAATCGACCCACTGGGGAAGAAAGAGATTTCCTAGGAAAAGTCGGGGAATTTTACGAGCATAATTCAGCAGTAGTCAGCATTTTTAAAAGGAAAAAAATTAAGTGGAAGTTTTTTCGCAGGTTATGGAAAGTCAGGAAATTCAAAACTTTTGGAGTTTGCGAAAAAGAAAAGGAAGTTAGGGGAATGAAGAGATGTTGCGGTGTCAGTTGCCCGATAACATCTGGGAAGATAGGCATATGTGGCGTTTGGGGGTCGTAGAACGCCAGAGTGCGTTGTAAAGCGACTTTAATATATATATAAGTTAGGGGAATGTCAGGGAATTGGAAAAGAAGAAATTGTGGAGACTCCTTATTGGGCTTTGTTGAAAAAAGGAGTTTAATTAGTGAAGGCTCGCCATGAGTTTGATTT